TTGGGACGCTTTTGGAGGCTCCCATTGCCAGAGTGGGGAACAGCCATGACACCTTTCCTCCCCATTTACCATGTAAGCATTTTTTCCAGAGATTATCTTTATGTTTACCCTAGTGACTCTGTAATATCTAGCAACCAAGTACACTTTGTCTTTTGCTTTGAAATAATTACCACTTTAAGGTGATGATTTAATTCTGGGGTCCTGGAAGGTACAGGAGGTGTCTGTTTGCATGCTTCAGACTGAGGGGTGAGCTACTAGAGACTGCAGCTTGTTTTTCCTCTCCTTTTTTCAGGCTCTCTTGCAGCAAAGAGCTTGGGGGAGCCTTGGTAGCATCCCTGGGTTTAGGGGTTAAAAAAAAAAATCACTTGATAGTGGAAGCAACCTTCCTCCATCCCACCCAAATCTGTGTATTGTGATTCTGGGGAAAGTTTTGGTAGCTAGCACCTGTAGTGGCAAGTTATTTAAAGTCTTTGTGGGCCCCCACCCTCTTCACTTGGGAGTGCCAGAGTGAGGAAAAAGCCCTGACAGGTCCACTTCAAATTTTGGTACATGGTTACACACTACCTCTGAACCCCTGGAAGGAGTGGGGCCTTGGGCAACAAGGGTGGAGGTGGGGTAGAGAGAGCACGTAAGCAAGCAAGACTGACAGTGACACAGATTGGGCATGTGTAGTATAGAGAGGGAACAGATTGCATGTGCGGGCAGGTTCTGGTCTCTAAGGGAAATCTGTCCTGCTTTGTTGCCTCCACCCTCTGGGTAACATGCTTCAGATTGCAGAACGGGGGTCATAGAAACAGTCAGCAGAGCTGATCCAGAGACAGTACGGGGAAGGAGAACACTCTGATTTCAGCACTTCCCTCTCCCCTCCGTCTCCATGCCTCTGCACAGCTAGCAGGCAAAGCCTGAGAGCAACTCACACCGTGGCTGCAGGTCAGAGCAAAGTGAGGGGGAGAGGCAGCTGAACACACACTGCCTGCTGCAAGTCTGCACTTCTGCTAATGAGGGCGGTGGCCCAGACAGAAATGCTTGGGGGGCAGGATCTGGTCCCAGTTTCCCCACTCCTGCTCTATTCCTTCCCTTGCCGGTTAAGGGGATTCAGAAGCCTGAAGCTGCAGCTGAAGGAGTTTCATTGTTTGTTGATCGACCATGCTAGTCTCTCTCAAAGGTATGGCCATCGTGAGGGGTGGGGGCCTAGTGGTCAGTATTATAATTGACCAAACCAGGGAGGCTGTGATTAAGGTGGACAATACCTCTGATGTCCATAGTAAAAATCGAGCCCCATTTGGCAGGTGAGAAGAGCAGCTGGAACCTACATCCTACTGTGCACCGACTAACAAGAAGGGAGGGGTGCAGGCAAAAGAGGTCAGCAAGGATAGGGCTTTGGGTGAGCTCATACTCGGATCCCGGCCCAGAGAGGGATGAATCTAGTGCGACGGACAATGAAAGATCTATCATGCACTGGAAGTTTGGCAGTACTGATGGTGTTGGTACTGGAGGCAGCTGTCAATGCTAAAAGGGTCAGCACAGATGAGGTCACAGACGTGAGCCTGGCAGCAGGATTAATCAGTGCCTGATGCACCCGACCAGGGCCAACATTTGTATTAACCAAGCCTTCACAAGAGTGGATCTGCTGGTTTTTGTGCCCTGGTCGTAATGGTGCTTCTTTGTCCATGCCGATTTGTTCTTGCTCAGGCCAGCTTGCTCCATCTGCTCATTCCTGCACATGCCCTGGGTACCAGATTTAGATGGCTTTGGTACAGCCAGTACTGATGGAGCTAGAGAACCTTTTTGGCTCAATCAAGGCTCACTACAGGGACTCAAGGATCTTTCCTTAGAAGCCTTGTGTGAGTGGCTCAGAGGGTTACAAATAGAGTTCCTGTTGCGACTCCAGCAGTTGAAGGGCTGACTCCATGAATAGGATTTTGAGCTTTAACGCTCTATTTCTGGACTTCCATTGCTGATGCAAGCCACACTTTGATAGATGGTGCTCTCCCAGGAAGCCAACGCACTGCAAACATCCATCAGACGCTGGGGTAGATTCTTTGCAACTGAGGCACTTGTTGAATCATGGGAAGCTAGTATACCTTTGGCTGGAGGGATTCTCCCCCCCACCACGAGGGTTGGGGAAGACAAGACCTCTCCCGCTTCAGGCACAGCCAAATAAAAATACAAATGAAGTCAAGAAAAAGCTTCAAGGGATGCTAAAATTAGCAATTCTAAAGAAAGAGTTAATCCATGGACAGCTATAGCACTCTCTAGCCAGGGCAGACCAGAATGAATTAATGAGAGATTGTCTGCATGTGCTGGCTAGCCTCTTGCCCTACGCAGAGCAGTGCAAGCACAGGTGGAATGAACTGCGATCAAAGTTCTCCAGTCAGCAGCAGAGGGATTCAGACACGGTGGCTACGTCTACACTGGCCCCTTTTCCGGAAGGGGCATGTAAATTTCACTAGTCGTCGTAGGGAAATCCGCGGGGGATTTAAATATCCCCCGCGGCATTTAAATAAAAATGTCCGCCGCTTTTTTCCGGCTTTTAAAAAAGCCGGAAAAGAGCGTCTAGACTGGCCCCGATCCTCCGGAAAAAGTGCCCTTTTCCGGAGGGTCTTATTCCTACTTTGAAGTAGGAATAAGAGCCTCCGGAAAAGGGCGCTTTTTCCGGAGGATCGGGGCCAGTCTAGACGCTCTTTTCCGGCTTTTTTAAAAGCCGGAAAAAAGCGGCGGACATTTTTATTTAAATGCCGCGGGGGATATTTAAATCCCCCGCGGATTTCCCTACGACGACTAGTGAAATTTACATGCCCCTTCCGGAAAAGGGGCCAGTGTAGACGTAGCCCTACAGTGGAGGACCTAGAGGGACACTACTGAAAGAAGTGATCTTTTTGGGGACAGATAAAGCACTGAAGTGAAATTAATTTTACCCAAATAAAGATGAGAACTTACACAAGTTTTAATGAAGAACCATTATCTTTAAATGAGTAAAATTTAAATGGGAGGTGGAGGGAAGAGACTAGAATAACTGAATATACACAAATTACATTTTCCTCCTGCCCACAATAGCATCTTACTGTTAGATCTCCAAGACTTAAGACAAAGGGTTCCGTTATTAGATGTGCCGATCATTAAAAAAAACCATTGAAATCAGGAGCAGCAAGCTATCTGCACATCTGAAAACCCAGTCCAGAAGTCTGCAGGTCTCTTACAGGTCTTTAGGTGATGTACAAGACATACCAAGAAGGTGTGGTCCACGACAGGAGTTCTTATGAAGTTCTCAGAATGAAGAAGTTTGAAATAACTTAAATGCAAGATATCCAAGAAAATATGTAAGCAAGATTTTAGCAACTGTTTAGGCACTCGTGCAATCAATGGCAAAGATGTAGTAGTGATTACGTATTGGCACTGTGCCAAAGTGAGAATCGAACTAGGAGGCAAAAAATTAGGTAAATTATGCCATCAGCAGAATCTGAATTCAATTGAAGTTTTAAAGTTTATAGACCAGAAGTAAGGATGAGAAGGTCTCAGGAAGATATTTTTAAAATAAAAGATATTCTAGAAAAGTATTAAGACTAGATGTCTTTTTATTTTTTAATTTCCCCATTTTGATGCAATGGATTCAATCCTCTCTCAACCAGTCCCTGTTTAAAATTACAAGGGCATTGCTAAGTGTCAAAGTTAACTATCAATTGCCAAGATCAGTACTGCTAGTACTGTAAATTAGCGCATATAACCGGTGCACCAGTATTACCCGCATCTGTGTATAACCCATGGTTTTCCCTGATTGAGTAAAAAAAAAAATCTTGTATACCCCGCGCCCGTGTATAGCCCACAGGAGATGAACCACGGGTAATGTTAATGCAAAGCACCTGTAATCAAGTGTTAATGAGCCGCAGCTGATAATGCCAAGCACTAAGTAGGCTACAACCCTTATCACTGGTATATAACCCCTTTGAACCACACTGCTTTTCCATGCATTTATTCCACTTGTATTTTAAGCCTTTTAAACATGCCTAAGTACAAATCCTACACAGCTGATTTTAAATTGTGTGTCGAGGCAAAGGTGAAATTCTTCCCAACATTGAATCTTCAAGCTCTGATTCAGAGTACAACAGCGATTCTGATTCTGCACCACAGACCTCAACTGTCACCGAAGCCGATCTAGCCTTGGCTATGGATTTTATGGATGTTTTTAAAGACAGGGACTATGACGAGAATTTCGATAACTCAGACACTGAGGAGGATGCTGCTGGCGCTGATTCTAGAGATCAGAGGGAATGCGAATGCGAAGACGGCTTTTTTAAATTGTTTTTATTCTTTTACTAGTTGCACAGTAAACTAATGAATTTTAATATATTTTAATATAACTGCCTCTATTATTAAATTAAAATTTGCTGCTTTTCTCAAGTCAGTCAGTCTTGTCTTCCTTTCAGTTAAAAAAAACCCACCTGTATTACATGTGGACGAGTATAGCCTGCTGGGAAGGGGGGGGGGAGAAAGACAGGGTATATAAAACTTAGCATAACCCGCAGTTTATACTTGCTAATGTATGGTAATAGAATTGTTAGGACTTACTTTTGTCAGACACCTCAATACTTATTCAGCACTTGAAGGAGACTGGCCAATCCTGGTAATTACCGGGTCAATCAATAACATGAGTCTGAGACTGCCAAAGACTATTGGACAATGAAACACCTCTTCCCCCCCTTCACACTTATTTAATCACAGATGTCCAATAGTAGACAGATAATCCAATACTTCCCACTTCTTCCGCACCCCACTCTGGTAATGCAGGATTGCACCCATTTTACATTTACTAACATTTGTCTAGTCTTGCTTCGGGAGAGTATTCCCACTCCCTAAACAAACAGTTTTCATAAGATACCCAGTGTTCCCTTCCAGTAACCACCTTAATGTCCCCTTGTTCAGATGCAGAAGGAATTAGCTTAGGGATAGAAGTTCTTGAAGAAGCTACTCCCAAAACAGTCAGTCAATTTCAGAAGCAAGCAGGCTATTCAGGAAGTTTATTGACATTAAACAAAACCTGAGACATGAGTTAAATTGGACAGTCTCCAATGTGTAATCATGTGTTATGCAAGTTGCATTCTCACTCTATTCCAAGTCTGGTTACATAGCGTTACTTTATAGAAGAAGCTGAGTACTTTTCATTATGTAATTTTATTTGAGATGCACATTGTTGTAAAAAAGGTTCACATGGAATAATAAAACCATTTTTTAAACACAGTATCAGTACACAATGATTAGGTTTACAGGTTAACATGACAAGTCCACTTTATCTGCAGGAGTTTCACATTACACCTTTGGAGCAGAGATAAAATGTGCTTAAACACACATGGTAGAACAATTATATTTGAAAGTTAAGCATTTTCTTTAGGGTCATGCTTTTTAATCTGAATTTAGTAATCGTATATTGCATTAAAATAATTGCAATCCCAAGTAAAAGTGTCATTTGCAAAATATGTTTATAAGGCCATAGGAATGCACTACATATTTAAATTCACTGGAAACAAAGAAAAAAGTGGTCAGCCCTGCCTTTACATGGCATGTTGAAATACAAGGTATATTAATAAGAGTAATGTGGCACAAGCAGGTCGAGGACAGCAGAGGGAAGGAGCCAATATCTGCAAACAGCTTATCCATAAACTTCAACCTTGTGAATTTCACTTGATTACATAATCAGATGACCGATGCATTTCAACAAGTTAGCAACACATTTATGCATTTTACATGCTATTGGTGTCTTTTCAAAGTTGCTAGACATCAAGAGTTCTTTGCAGAAAAAAATATATTTTAAAAATATACCCTTCCTCCACTTTTGGCTTGTGAAAATAATGGATGCGATCTCACAAAAAGAGGAAATGCACTTGTGACAGGAAAAGATCCCATTTATAGAACTGCACTTTTGAAAAACCTGTAGACTAAAACTACAGTAGAAACCCCCAAAGCCAACAATGGTAAATTGCATCACATTTAAATATGTGGTTTTGAAGTTTTAACATTCACTTCAAGAAATTTTAATAACCAAATCTAAATCAAGTATTCTATGTCTACTCAACAAGACCTAAGCACTTTTATGTGCATGGCTTGCTGATCACAGGATTGAAAACGAAAGCAGCATTGAGACCATATATTTTCAGATTTTGTTTTCTTACCATTGAGAAAAAACAGAACAAACTACATGAACTGGGAAGGAAGAAGAGAGCTGTGGAGGACTAAACCCTCAAACAACTAAGCCAATAGGTTCTATTCCTAACAATGCCCGCCTTTCCTTAAAGGCTAATGGAGGTCTCTAGAGCAAGGCATGTTGCACATTTGCTGCTTTGTATAAAGAATGGTGGTTGGATCAACTTGTTTTAATGGATATTAGAACATTAGTTAGCTGAGGTATAGTTAAAGAGTCCTTCAAAAATTATTATAGTTACAACAATCATACAGGTACTAGAAAAACCTGCAGCACCCAACAACTGATGCTCAGACATAACAGTTATTATTTGTCTGCTTGCCTAAAGCAAAATATATCTAGAAAAATTTCCCAGTGAAACAATCAGCTGATTTACATGCTATAATACAGCACATTTTTCTATGTCTGACAACAGACTGTATGAGGAAAGGTCTATGCTGACCGTTATCAAAAGTTAACACACTGATAAAGTGCGGCCCCTCAACTAGTTAATACTGCTGCCAAAAAAAAAAAAAAAAAAAACAAACAAAAACCAAAAAAAACCCCAAAACTGTTTTACCTTACCCATAAGACCATAATGTTTTCACATGAAACTGGAGTTTTTCAGTTTCAGGAGGGAGCAGACAAAAATAATCTGTCACTAAATCCTTCTATAAAAATTGAAAAAGATGAGCATTATATGAACATTAAGCAAAGTGATATATTTACTGCATCATTTTATCATGCATAAAGTGAATTTCCTATGGTCTTACCTCAAATTTATGTACAGTTTAGCACAGCTAAATGTAAGAAAATAGCAAGGATTTTTTTTTTCTTTTTAATACAACAGAGCAGATACCCCAATTTGCTGCTGCGTCAAGAAGCACTTGATAAACTCTCACGTACAGGCTCTTTCAAAAAGGAAGTTTATGGAGACTAAATCTTGTTTGGACACAGAATCAAACAGAAGACAGAGAAAATATACCATAAGCAAAGCATTCTGTAAAAATTGCCAACCACAGAACATGTCAGTTTTGGTTTGCAGACAACCCCTGAGAAAAAATCCAAGTGGTACAACACCAAGTCAGTCAGAGGTAAATTATTAAAAATTCACAACATTCATAATTGGAGTCATAACAGTTGCTGTATAGCAAGCACTTTATTACCATACAGAAAACATAACTGCATTAGCCTCTCCCAGAAAAATGCTAAATGTACACCAGAGCAGCTATGGTGGTTTTTATTTGAACAATCTTGCTACCTCAAGAATTCTGCTGCACCTTTTAGTTTTGTAAGAATAGGAGACTGTAAATCACATCAACTTATAAGGATCGCTTTGATTGCAAGTAAGTGGCAGTGTGGGAAGAATGGTAGAAAGCCACTTAAACTTTGATGAACCAGATGAAGTTTCTCAAGTCTGTTCAGGACACTCACTAATCAAAGTACTTTTTGGATTCACTGCTGATGGCCCAAGAACTTATTCTTAGTTTCAAAATATTTGACAGATGGCAAGATAATAAATTCAATATGTGACATCCCAAGCTGACAGAGTGATCTATTACACAATGGATTGGTGGTTACCACAAAGTTAAGTGACTGTTGTGAAACAAGCAGACACATGAGAAAAGTTAGCAATTTGTCAACAAGACAACCCACCTGCCCCTCATAACAAAAGTGCTGAACACTGTCAAACTGGTAGTTAAAGCTAACAATGGTCCAAGTTTGGCACAACAAACTAAAGCACCAATTGTAATCATTCATGGAGAGAGAGCTTTGAAAAAACAAGCAAGTGATAACACACAAACTAGGATGCAGGTATTCAGAAGAGTAAAAAAGGCAACTTCAACTTGGCTTCTAGCACTGCGCCACTTTCTGATGGTTAACTTCTACCGTTGCCTGTGCAGACGGAAAGCTTTCCGCATTCAGTGTCAGCTACATAATGTGTGTTATAAGCTGGGGTGCATCATTTTCTTTACTGATTGGGCAATCACACAGGAAATTTGTTTGGGCATGCTTTTGCCATCATGGTTTACAGGAGTGATGGGAACACCCTCAGCATCACTAATTCACCCTTAGGAGCTGCAGTTACTCTTAAAAAACTCCTCTGGATTCTGTTCTCCATAGTATGAATATCCTCTTTCAATTTAGCCAAGACAAATAATGTAAGTGATATCTAAGATGTCCACCTATGCTATGCTGAAGATTTCAACTTAAGAATTATCAGAAACAAGAACAAAGGCAAAGGATCAAGTGAGCTGGGCTAATAGGAGAAGCTAGATGAAGAATGATCACTGGGGTTTATTCACATGCTTTAAAGAGTGCACTGGACTGAGACAAGAACCATGTATGCTTAGAAAACAAATCTACTCTAAAATAGATTTTTTTAGGTTGCTAAAATCAAATAGTAAAGAAACATCCTACATTCAGACTAGAAGCAGCAGTAGCCTTTGTATGAATGGATTTGTGCACTTGTACAGATTTTTAATTCAGTTTCTCAAGTTCTTAAATGGCAATTTGTTTTAATAAACCCCAACACCTTGAATATATCCATACTGCAGACATGATCACATGTGAAGAACAAAAACTACAGGAGGTGTGATTTAATCTTTTCCTTCTTGCATTTAAAAATAAATTTGTAAAAGAATGCACAAATCGGTTAAAGAATTTACTTACAGGACAATAAGATGTGCAAACTGAAGTGTTAGATTGTGCTGTAACAGGCAATAAAAGGCTAATATGGATGTGCAAAGTTAAAAGAAATGTAGCAGCATTTGCAACAGACATCAAAACAGAAAGTAATGAAGAAAATTAACTCCTGCATTTGTGTATCTCCACTTCATTGCTTCCACATTTGAGAAAAGGAGCCTGACAGGTCAATGGGCTTAGTGAGCAAAATCCACCTGGTATTTTGTTTAACGCAGTCAACGTTCATTGAAGCTCTCAGCAGCAGCTTGGTGGTATTATTTCTGAGGCTTTGTGACCCTGTGCTTTCAAAGAAGCAGAAAAGGTTCTTCTAAATGTGCTGCAGTCTATCATTAGGAGTTCATCAAAGTAGCGTGCATCGAAAGAAGCTGCTCTTCTTCGATCGATTTTCTGTTATTTTCACTGGTCCACCAGCCCCTGGTGAACTGTTGTCATTCTAGGAGAGGGGATAAAAAAAGCACACACACATACACACACACCCCAATTAAGTTATGAATGGAGAAAAGCAGTCCCAGCATTTCCCCTTCTCCTTCACTCCCCAGCCTCCAAAGTACAAGTGAAATATTAGTATCAACTTTAAGAGGGGCAAGTTTTTTAGGCGTAATTAATGATCTCTTAAGGAGCTCAATAACTTATAAAAACTCAAAATTACCCCATTTTAATTCATCCATAATGAATTCCAACTCTGAAAGAACAGCCAACTCAATTGCTAAGACAGTTTAGTGGGGCAAGGACCACCTATATAATTTATGTGAAGTCTGAAGCACAGTTTTAGGACTTTTAAAATCTAATAGTCTTCACTTAGTGTTCTAAGGTTATAGATATAAACTCCAACAACTATCCTGCACATCTTTTAGCAAGAGATGATTGTTTAACAGTGGGTAAAAAGATCCCATACATAATCTGTACACAAGAGATAGACTGTCCTGGGATCCACAGTTCCACACTACAACATTTTTTGTTCTTTTGAAGTTTTGCTTCACAAAGGAAGATCTCAGGAACAAAGTATACCAAAATGGTTTGCGTAATATTAATAGGATTTGCATAGATAAATTCTTATCTATGGATAAGTGACAAATTAATGAAAATTGAGATCAAGCAGTTTACCCATAATCTTTCTTGGAAAAAGATAATGGCGATCAACTACTGTTCTAGATATCCTGCCCCTCTCACAGAGAGGGCTACTTCTTATGGATACATAAATGTTGGGTCAAAGTGTTCAATTTGTAAGAATACTGCCATAGTAATAACTTCTAGAAGGTTGAGATTTGGTATGAAATAGCCCTCACTGAAGCAAAGTATCTTTGAATGTTCTGTGGAAAGTTTGTTTGGATTTGAGAATTAATGCTCTGACAAAATACAAATGGATTTTGCACACAAGCTGTACTTTGCATAGTCCCCTCATCTTAGCAGAAAAAAGGGAAAGTTGTATTTGATAATGTGTCATCATACTATTGTAAGACTGACATAATGAATGAACACAAGGAGGCAGGGTGGAACCTTAACTCTGGTGTTTCTCATTTACAGAAAGTTAGCTTGCAGCTTTCAGTTCTACTAAATGAGGTAGAGAACGTCACTCAAACATTCAACAGTAAGAGCATCCATTGCCTGCCTTCTCTTCTAATCTCAAGTCTACGCACAGACCATTTTGTAACGGCCTGCACCATGCACAGAAGCTAATGTATTGCAAAGTACAAAGTACAAACCATTTTTCTGTTGAGTTTTGTCATTATATCCCGAGCAAGTGTGAAGAATGCCTGAAACAAAGGAGAAGGGAACATTAGAGACAAACTAGACTGAATGATTTAACACATTTAGTAACAATGGCCTATGAAATATGCAATATTAAAAATTACATTAAAGGCACGAAGTGTGCAATGGATACTCTCTCATATGGCAAAAGTCATTTTATAATCCGTTATTTAGGTCAACATCCTTCATCCCATCTGCTATGGTTGTGCAGCCCTTCTGCTTTGGCAGATCACTGCTGCACATTAGACTACTTTTTAAAGACTTGGGGACAGAGCCCAAATTCAAACATGCAGCATGTGTCACATTGTATCAAGTTGTGTGCTGTGGCAGCAATCTAGCCTTTCTAGAGCACCAAAGGGGAAAATTTCAAAAGAACTTGTAACAGAAAATTCAAAGTTCCATTTCCTTTTGTCCCTGTCAACGCCTTGTACATGGATTCCCAGCCAACCTACCTCCTGCTGCCACAGCCAAAACCCACTTTGGCTTCTTTGTGACACGCTGCATTTGACAGCTGGGATAATCAGACACACAGGCGGAGTGATGGCCAGAGTTTATTTTGTTAAGGCAACAGAAATCCTTTACTGAGAACACTAGAATTCTCAGGGAACAAAAGAAAAGTGGAATTTAAGGGGCAGTCTTACAACTAAAGTCAAGGTTCTCTAGGGAATGAGTGTGTCTCAGGGAGAGGGAGTGAGGGGGAGAGCATGCATTTATAAAGGAGAAAAATGTCAATGGCACAAGCTTAGTTCTATAAATGAAGTCCAGAAAATCCACAGATATCCGCTTTCTATCCGTGGGTATCAGCATCTGTGGATGTGGATAACCGCTGCTCATTTTTGTGGATACAAAATTCTGTATCCACTCAGGACGATCTATACATGATTCACTTCTTAACAGAATTAACTTCTAGAAGTTAAGTATAGGTTGAACCTCTAATTTGAAACTCTGGTCTGGCAACACCTGTTGTCTGGCAGGACCCCAGATATTCCAGGACTAAAGAGCTCTGGTGGAGAGCTGGTGGTAGGGATGCCTGGTGGGGCCAGGAGTCCAGCATGCCACAGCAGGGCTAGAGCTGGGCTGCCAAGCATAGCAGGGAAGGAGGTAGGGGACTGGCAGGGCAGTAAGGAAGGTGGCAAGGGGGAATCAGCCAGGAGGCCAGTGGCTGGTCTATGGCTGAGGGGGGAGCTGGTAGCAGGGGAGCTAGATAGGACCTCCCTAGGTCTGGCAAAATCCCTTATTTGGGACTGGTCAGGTCCTGAGGGTGCTGGACCAGAAGTCCAACCTATAGTTGGTAGAACTAAGATGCTATCTAGATATATACATGACACTGGTGTCTGACAAGTCTAGGTCAGCTATGTAATCGGGATGAGAGGAAAACATGAACATTCTAAAAAGTTAGCTAGGCAGCTGGCTTAGAGCTCTGGCTGTAGGTGCCAATGTATTCCTTGAATTTATTTATGCATAGTATGAATGATGATCAAATTGCGGGATGCTCCTGACAATTAAGCAGCAAAACAAAACAAAATTCCACAATGGGTGAACTAGATAAAAATCTCATCCCTTATTCTGAAGTCCAATCATTATTCACTATTAATACTACAAAATCCAAAATAATGTCTTACAAACAGAAACATACTGATATAGTGATAACCTCAAAAAGCTTGAACTCTGTCCCTGATACAGAACAATGAAAACATAAATCCAGTCTAGCTATCAACGGTATACTGTGCCGCATAGATTTCTCCATTTACAATTATTGTAATGATATCCTAAACCTGTTGAGCTATTTTTAATGCATATGTTCATTTCCACAATTGCAAATTACTACATAAACACAATTGTTAACTCAATGCTTATTGAAGTGCCCCTCCAAGAAGTGTTCTTTCCAAAAGCTTTCTTAAGTACATCACACAGTGGCCTCCAGAAGAAAGTATTTACTAGCTGGCCTGCCTCTTCTACTATTTTTGACTTTCAACCAGTACTAGATTTTAAAAACACTAAGCAAGCTGTGTCTTCAGTAGATCTATACATTTAAGCCATCTTGAATGGACGGATAGCATACTCCCCCTAAAGTAACTGCTCTTGGAGTCCTTACTATTTTCTTCTTATAGTCATTTTAAAAGAACTCATTGTGTGAGTATATATGAGTACTGTTGTGTGGGATTCTCTGGCAATTCTGCACTAACAGACGCAAGTTTCATTTCCTTATCCTCTTCCAGGAAAGCCCTGAGCAATCAGTAGCCGTGGGGTCTATTTAGTCAGTTCAGTTCATAATACTTGCAGCAAAATACATTGCTATCCTGGAAAAAAAAAATGAATGGAGATACCTATCTCCTAGAACTGGAAGGGACCTTGGACTCAATGACCTTTCAGTCCCCTCCCTTCACAGCAGGACCAACAAATTTTGCCCCAGATCCCTAAATAGCCTCCCCAAGGATTAAACTCACAACCCTGGGTTTAGCAGACCAATGCTCAAACCACTGAGCTATCCCTCCCCTCTACAAGACAACTATCAATTTAAAATAGGAAAAAAAGTTATAGCAAGTGAAGCTATATGACTGTCTGGCCTACTCTGAGCTACTCTTCCAAATGTTACCTAGCAGACCATCTGCTAACCAAGGTATATTTGGTCCTCTTGGCAAGTGTTAGAGAGAAGCTGCACATGTACAGCATGTATCCAGCAGTAAACTGAAATCTATGAAATAGAAAATGGAAGTGTCCTGTGATAGAACCTAGAGTTCAGGACCTTACTGCACTAGACACTGTAAATGTTCCAAAATATGCACAATTTAAGTATCTAGACACCTTTTGGTTACTAGCAAACATACAACTAATCTCACTGCAACATTAACAGTGACTTTAACAGCACATATCTACAAGTACTAATATTACCAGAAAACATCTGGCATTTCCAGTCCTGTGGGAATTAGGCCGTTTTACTATGGCTCCAAATGCAACAGATGCAGAATTCCCCCAAGACTAAAGCTAGATTCTACAGCACATATTCAAATAAAGCAAAATTGGCAATACGTGAAAACCTAGGAGCAAAATGGTCAAAAACACATTATGCATCAGGTCAGAAAAGCCAATAGGGTTGCTTGCAACGTGATCTCTATATAACAGTATATAAGTTCAGACAAAGAAAAAAATATAATTCCAATCTTACCTCTTCCACATTTATACTGGATTTAGCACTTGTCTCCAGAAATTTGATTCCATAATCTATTGCTAACTGGAAGACAGATTTTAAAGAAGTTATGATATTTATAAACTTAAGTTTGCAAAGTGACAAGACATTTTTAGGTCAGCTAATAATGGAGCAGTGGCTCCAGAAACTTGGTTACACCCTTAGCCACAAACGTACTTTCTTTCTCCTGAAAAAAATGCATACATTACTTTTTTACTGAGGACCTGTAAAATATTTAACAAAAACCAAATCAACAGTTGCGACAGAAGTTTGAATGATTTCTACAGTAATTAAGAGACTAGCTTAAGGTGATGTGGGATGGTAGACCAGACCCTCTGCTGATATAAAACTGAGGCAGTTGCAATGAACTACAGCCCTATGACAGAATACTACTATTGGGCAGATCCTGGTATAAGTCTTATCATTTTATAGCTTTTTAAATTATTAAATAGAAATCACTTAAGTTCTATAGGACTTTTTCTATGGATACAAAAAGTTCAACTAAAGAAGAGAGTCTTAATAGTAATCAGATATTCATATGCAGGTGTAGATAATCCTACCAACTATCCTCTAGCCCGTATTATAATAACTGTATTGTGTAAATTATAATTTAATGTGTGCAGCCTTACTTAAGGCTCCTTAGAAAATGTCCCTTGCTTTAAAATATTTATATTCATCCACTGCAATTAAGAGTGATTCAGAAACTGCTCAACTACAATTCTGTTTATTATCCATTTGAGGTTCCCCTCGAAGGGAGGAATTGTATTAGCACAGGGAAAGCCAACTTTTAGAGCATCTCACCTGAAACAAGAATATTCAAGTCCAATTGGATTCTGTATATTAAGTAAAACAGGCAAACATTCTATGATATGTAGAAGGTTCTAAACTAAAGTGAGGGAAAACTCACGCACAACTAAAGTATAAAAACCAATTATTTTGTTTGGTGTTGGTAAAAGCAGAGTAATAAGTGTCTTTAGGGATAGCAGATCAGAAAAAAGTATTAGGTCTTTATTGAAAGAATTTAGTAGTGCAAAAATTTACCTTCTCTCCTTTTTCTTTTGAGACTTGTCTCTTTTCGTTCATATCACATTTATTACCCAGGATCATTCTTTCCACGTCTGAAGAGGCATGCTGAAGGGAAAATAAGCTCTTAAAAAAAGCAGCATAGAGTTAAAGATAAATTCTTCCCCCTTCCCTTCACAAACAGATCCCCACATTAGACAATGAGAATTCTCTCTCAATAAACCCTTAATACAAAGGCATGAATGGGGAATAGAGAAGAATATGTTTTTTGAAAGGCTTAATAAAGTATTTCTTAATTTGGAATGTAGCTGCCTCGCTCAATTTCAGTTTTAACCCTTGGCACCAATGACCAGCCTGATGCAATGTTATCAGCAATCTCCTTGGGACTGTGCCTTCTTTGCAAGAGTCAATAGCAAAATGTAGCCAGAAAATGATGGCAGGTTTTTTGGGGAGAGCAAGTAGAATAGAATTTCTATCCCACCAGATTAAGCCTTATTTTGCTTAGGTATAAAGCTCAATGATTCCTATTCCCAATTCCCAAAGCACTGCCTTCAGATTCAAGTATGGTCAATGTATTTGCTATTCAAATAACTTACAAAGTGAGGGAAAACTCACACACAACTGAAGTTTAACCAATGGCAAAATTTGGACAAAGGAATATTCAGCACACTCAAGCAGGTATATCTACACTTATACTGCCAGGCTGTGTCTAGATTGGCATGATTTTCCGGAAATGCTTTTAACGGAAAAGTTTTCCGTTAAAAGCATTTTCAGAACAGAGCGTCTAGATTGGCATGGACGCTTTTCCGCAAAAGCACTTTTTGCGGAAAAGCGTCCGTGCCAATCTAGACATGCTTTTCCACAAAAAAGTCCCGACCGCCATTTTCGCAATCAGGGCTTTTTTGCGGAAAACAAATCTGAGCTGTCTACACTGGCCCTTTTGCATAAAAGGGACTTTTGCCTGAACGGGAGCAGAATAGGATTTTCGCAAAAAGCACTAATTTCTTACAGTAGGAAGTCAGTGCTTTTGCAGAAATTCAAGCAGGCCAGTGTAGACAGCTGGCAAGTTTTTCCGGAAAAGTGGCTGATTTTCCAGAAAAACTGGCCAGTCTAGAGACAGCCCCAGAGTATTATTGTCAGCTTCACCAAGAGATACTGAAAGTAAGTCTCCTTCTCACCACTTAGCCACATTATAAAGCCAAGGTTAAACTCAGGACACCCACTGGAAGCAAGCAGTTGTGAAATCTTTGTTTTTCATGATCACTAACTTTCTGGTTACCATGGGCTGGAAAGAAGAAAGTCATCCTGTACACAAAGACTACTGCTCTGATTTACATCCATTTTAACTGTGTTACACATTTACCTCCACTGAAAGAAAAAAAAAAACTTGCTAAAACATTGATCATTGCTCTGGAGAAATTAGAGATTACTACCAGATGCAGTTTAGTAATCCCCAACCACCTACCTCTTCTATGTTCCTTATCCAGTTTTTAATGTTGTCAAATGACTTCTCATTTGTGATGTCATACACCAGCATTATTCCCTGTGGGGGAAATAAAAAAAAGATCTAATCTTATAATATTAAGATTAGTTTATATTTGATGCACATATTGTTTGTTCACGGTTACAACTTCGCAAAAGCCACATACACCTTTGTAATTAACAGCCCTTTCTGAAAACTTTATATGATCTCACTTGGAATAAATTTTGAATGGTCTTGACCCATTGTCACCTATTGTTTTTAAAAATAGAATAATTATGCTCTTAAAATTAAACTAAACAAATTAAGCTATGATCAGCAAGAATTTTACAAATAAAGGCAGCCAGCAGTCTGCTTTATAGGAAAAAGGTTGTGATCATAAAGTAGGCCATGTTTATATATACAGTACTTCAGTGTTTACTATGCATCATCCTACCCCCCCCCATCACTTTTGTAAGATTCTGCTTGCCTGGAGCAAGCAGCCATACTTGACAGATAAGCAGATTTTTTTTACAGCAAGTCTTAATGGCGTCAAGGTAATTTCGGCTCTTCTGTAGTTGTGTATGCACATGAATCTCCCTGTAATGTGATGGCAGTAAAATAAGTAAAACCAAACTACAACTACATTAATGTCGACCTAGCATGTCTCAGAGTCTTGATATGCTGTGAATAGCTGTCATGTGTCAAAATGTAAGGAACAATATAGAAATTAAATAGTTGATTAACTACAATCAGTAGCAGCTGCTCTAAAAACAGATTATACAGCTGATTATATCTGAATCTAATTGCTGCATTCTTGATCTGAAAAGTGTACACAGCAGGAAAACCAACTCAGTCAAATTCACTTTTAATATTAGCAGACATATCACCTATCCTACTAGCACCTGAAATGAGAGGAAAAAGTGTTTTATGCAAATCACAAGTTTCTCAAACAAAACCTGGTGAATTAAGCAGCTTATGTCCACAAAGATAGTAACTATATAAAAGATGGAGGGGCAGAAAGATTAGATCTGGAGAACAAGACTACAAAACCACAATGGTTCTGAAGTAATCTGTTAACTTCCCACCTCTGTGCTATAATTTCTCTCTAGTGAAACAGCTTGAGCCCTTTAAACATAAAGGAGCAAACTAATTATGATTTTAGTCACACCAGAATACTCTGAAAACTCACTCACCATGGCTCCTCTGTAGTAAGCTGTTGTGATTGTGCGGAATCTCTCTTGCCCTGCTGTATCCCTAGAATTTGGTGAAAACAAACACTTGTTTATTGTTTTTAAAACCTCATTTTCACTTTCAAAGTTCACCAAAAAAAAGTTTTGATACTCCTACAGATTAAGAAAAGTACCCTTTAGAAGAAACTAAATAAGTATACCCTTCTCCTTTGTGCTCAAACAAGTACCAACTAGCTGCTATTCTTAGACTGATATTCAGGAGGGGAACGGTAAAAGGAGAAATCACATTTTCAATTAAGAAACTGACACATCATCAGTCAACTCAGACTCAGTAGTGCATGGCCCTTCTTACAGTAGTAAGTGTATAGAAATGGTCCCAGAAGCATGGCATACATTTTAGCCCTCTAAACAAAAAGAGCATGCCCCAAGAATCATCAAAAACGGGTAGGTCTGATCTATACTAAAGGGGAAAGTCGACTAAGATATCCAAACCCAGCTACCTTAATTCCATAGCTGGAATTGAGGCATCTTAAATCAGGTTTTCATGCGGTTCATACAGCGGGAGGATGACAGGAGCAAACACACGCATCAGCTTCCCTTATTCTCCAGTGAGGATCAAGCGTACCAGTAACAGGGGAGGGGGAGAACCCTCTCAATTTGAATTAGTTACTCTTCTCTAGACCTGCCAATTCAAACCCTGAAAGATCTTCAGCTTAGCATAGACATGACCTTATAGCATGTCACAATTTCACGCACATTTAAGTATTAGGACCAACCACAATATGACAGCAGTCAGTAAAAATCATCTTAGAGATGCTGCTTCAAGGAATCTGGCCACATGAGAAGTAAAGATGTTAAGCGGGGATTTGGCTAATTGTGTAGTTGATACAATCGGTCTACACAATTAGTCGATAAGGGAAGGCGCTCTGCAGAGCCATAGCGGGGGTAGCTTCTGAATCCGGCGCGAGCTGGGACTGAGTAGTCCCAGCTTGTGCCTGCTCCAGGACTGCTGCGGCTCTGCCTTATAGATGTAGTAAGAGCTGGGCAGCTCTTATTACATTTAAAAGGCGGAGCCACAGTTGCCCCAGATCCTAGG